CTGTCTCTCTTCACCTCCCTCAGAGCACTGGCATTTGCCCCATGACTATAATATCGCTGCCACAGCTCCAGACATCCCCCCTGTATCCAGGACAGGAAGGAGGGGGAATCTGGTTACCTGCCTCTGTTTCTCCTTTTTCAAGAAAGCAAAAGTTTCCCCCCAAATTTTCTTTCTTCCCCACAGATTTTTGCTTGTGCATCATTGGCCAGAACTAGGTCACATGGCTTCTACAAGGGAGGCTGGGAAAGGGAGCACTGAACTGGGCACGTGGCCATCCTCAAACAGCCGGGCTTCCGTTATCAGGGGAGAAGCAAGGCATGGACATTGGAAGGCATGGGGCAGAGTCTTCCCGTTTCTTTTTGCAATTTTGTACACTCTGCAGATGATAGCGATGATGCTGTGAGCGTGGTGTTCTCTGAGGTAGGTCTGATGTCTCCATTTTACAGATAAGGAAACCGAGTCACACAAAGATGACAGGACTTGCAAAGAAAGACCCCAACTAAAAAGTGGTGGGGTCAGGATTCCAGCGCAGGCAGGCAGAGCTCCAGCCCAGCCTCACTTCAGCTTTTTTGCTGAACCTTTGTGCTCGGTGCAGAGGGGTTCTCCAGAAACTCTCTTACTCGGGTACAGGCTGCCCGATGGGATATTTTTCAGCCTCTTCTGTGTGAATTTGTAAATTGCCTTAAGGCAGAGAGATAGTCAAGATGCGGCTTTTCCACAGGGAACCCACCCCATAACAAAGAAACAGAATGTCCAGAGGATGAGGCCCAGAAATCGGGATTTTAAAAAGATTCCCAGGTGATTCTCATGTGCAGCCAAGGTTGAGAACCACTGGTTTAAAGTGAAAGTATCTCTACTTCCCCACTCCCGGGGCCCTCTCTAGAGGTAAGTTTCCCGTGAACTCTGTCGCAGCGTTAATGCAACTAAAGAGCTCATGTTATATAAACTAAAGAGCTCATGTTATATACCCTCCCCCAACCCACAATTCTGACCTCCCCCAACCCACAATATTGACACACACACACACACACACAAATTTACTTTGTTTTCCTTTTTAATGTAAATCGCAACTTTCTGAGAGACGGCCTGGCATGGTGAGGAGAGATGGACGAGGAGCCTGAACCCTGGTGCCTACTCCCCATCCTTCCTTAGAGTAGCTGCATAACCTTAGGGAAATCCCCTAACCCTTCCCGGATGCCAGCCTCATAAAGAAAGTGATGGGGTGGCTGGGTGGCTTAGTTGGTTGGAGTATTGTCCTGTACACCCAAAGGCTTTGGGTTCGATTCCTGGTCAGGGCACACACCTAAGTTGCAGGTTCGATCCTTGGTGGGAGCATGTATGGGAGGCAACGGATGTTTCTCTCTCTGTCTCTCAAATCAATAAACATATCCTTGGGTGAGAATAGGAAGGAAGGAAGAAAGGAAGGGAGGGAGGGAGAGAAGGAAGGAGGAATGGAGGGGGAGGCAGGGAGGGAGGGAGGGAGGGGATTGTTGGGAGAAGAAAACTTTTAGTGCGTGAAGACAGGAAGGTTTAAGCAGATGGGTCCCTCTAATTAAGAGCTGTGTGATAGGCCCTCCAAAGACATCTGCATTTTAATCCCTGGACCCTGTGAATATGTGACCTTACATGGCAAAAGGGACTTTGCAGACATGAGTAAGTTAAGGGTCTTGAGATGAGATTATTTTAGATTATACAGGTGGGCCCACTATAATCACAAGGGTCCTTAAAAGAGGGGGATCAGAGTCAAAGAAGGAGATGTGATGACAGAAACAAGGTTGGAGTGATGCGGGCCACAAGCCAACGAATGCAGATGGAAAAGGCAAGGGGTGGATTCTCCCCTACAGCCTCAGAAGGAATGCAGCCCTGCTGGCCCATTTTAGACTTCTGACCTCCAGCAATGCAACAGAATAAAGTTATGTAGCTTTAAGCCACTTTGTAGAAATGAGTACAACAGCAATGGGAAACTATTACAAGCTGTAACCTCATGACTCTAAAATGCCTTGGACTCAAGCAAGGAAGCACTAACCAATGGTAGAAGGCAAGCAGAAGGGACAAGGAAATACATCCAGGGCAGGAAGCGCTGGAGGAATAACGGGAAAGGCAGGGATAGAGGCCTGAGGCCTCTGGCTATGGAGTTTGATATAGGCTGGCTTCCCCTGACCACCCACGTAAGCCACTTCCTGTATGTAATGTTGGCTGAGGGTCTGACTTGGGGATGAGGGCCCAACAGAATGATGCTGTCTGAAGGTCAAAGGGATGAGAGGTAAAGAAGATTTGAGAGTTTCCTCAAAAAATTAAATATGGAACTGCCTTTTGACCCTGTGATCCCACTTCCAGGAATATATCCTAAGAAACCCGAAATACCGATCAGAAAGAATGTATGCACCCCTGTGTTCATAGCAGCACAACTTACAATGGCTAAGATCTGGAAACAGCCCAAGTGCCCATCAGTAGATGAGTGGATAAAAAAGCTGTGGTACATTTACAAAAAGGAATACTACACAGCAGTAAAAAAGGAAGGATCTCTTACCCTTTGAGACAGCATGGAGGGACCCAGAGAGTATCATGATAAGTGAAATAAGCCAGTCAGAGAAAGACAAGTATCACATGGTCTCACTCATATGTGGAATCTAAGTAACAAAATAAACTGATGAACAGAGTGGATCCAGAGACATAGAAGCATGATACAGACTGTCGAATCTCAGAGGGAAGATGGGGGTGGGTGGGTGGGAAGAGATTAACCAAAGACCTTGTATGCATATATGCATAACCCATGGTCACAGACAATAGTGGGGGGAAGGTCTGGGGCAGGGTGTGGGTACAGGCTAGAAGGGGCAAAGGAGAAAACACAGCTGCTCTGAACAAGCTCCCACAAATTATTTTCAGAACATATTCAACTCACTTCCAGTTATTTTTATTTATTTATTCAATAAATAATAATAGTAAAGGACTTATAGCCTCCTGAGTACGGTAAGAATCCATGAGCCCACACTAGGATAAATGAATGAATAAACAAGTTGGGGTGGAGGGAAAGCTCCCTCTGCATGAGAAAGCCAGCTTGAAAATGCAGAAGAGATGATGGAATTAGAAAAATCACCACTGGCCAACTCTCCCCAATCACCAGCTCAGGCAAGAGTCATTCATGGGTGGATGTTAAAACCAGGCATTCGAGTTTGAAGAGTAAGGAGATGCATGTAGTCTCAACGTGCATCCCCACGGGGTACTTTTTCATTACCAGAGGCAAAATGGTAACTGCAGTGGAGAAACCTGGAAGATGCCACCTCAACCAAGCACTCACGGCAGGTGTGTCCTGGTGGGTCACACGGGCAGGAGCTCAGCTCAGCTGGCGTGTTCCTGCCAGATGTGCATCACCCGGACCTGGTCCCGGGAAGCAGCGGACAAGCCCAGACTGGGGAACAGAAGGACTGGGCCTGAGAGAAATGTGAAAACTGAATGCAGCCCAGGATCTTGGGGTCGCCATTGCTCTACAGCAAGCATGTCAAACTCGAAGGCCAACACGGGCCAAACAAACGAGGTTTAAGTTTCTGTGAGTCACAAAAAAAACACCCACAAGCTTCAATTTTCATAGAAACGTAGGTTTATTTCAAAAAGTATAGTATAAAATAGAATAAGAGCAATGATAAAATTAATGTTTTCTTACACACCGTTATATTGGCTAGGCCACAAAAATATTCGTTGTGGCCGCATGCAGCCTGCGGTCCACAAGTTTGACACGCCTGCTCTAAAGCTGTTGTGGGATGCTAGAGGGCATCTCCGTGAGGTCTGTGGGTTAGGCGTGGAATTGTTTCAGTGTTCGTTTTCAGACTTTGGTGATTACACTGTGGTTATGTAAGAGCTCCTTCTTTTCAGGAAAACACACTGGTGTGTTTAGAGGAAACGGAGGGCGGGAAGCAGGAAGGAAGGGTTTTCCTAGGAGGCGCGTCAGCCCCTCTCAGCCCGGACTTCTGAAGGAAGCTGGTGGGCACTGCAGCAGTTCCTGGCTGAAGAAGCCCCAGCGGAGAGGTTTAAAGGAAGGAGGCTTGGACTCAGCCTCTACCAGAAAGCAAATGGGGCTCCGTGAGCAGGAGGAGCCACAGGATCCCTCGCCTGGGTTCCCCCACCTGCACGACGTGGGGTGGACGGGACGGCCTCTGCGACCCTTTCTGCTCCGAGGGAACTGGTCTCCCTCTGAGACTCGGCAGTGGCAGCATCTGGATAAGCCCCTCGGAGCTCTCCCTGAGCCTCAGGAGAGAGGCTGTGGCCCGGCCCCTGAAAGTCTGGTTTTTGGAGCTCCTTCCTGGTATAGGCACCTCCCCTAGGTCCTGTGTTCAGACTTCTAGAACATGCCTTGATCTCTGCCGACACAGAGTTTCCGGTAAACCCAAAGTGGTTTGCTCGGCCGTTCGTTCCTGCAGCATGTGGGTGGGTCGCCTACTGTGTCCCCAGCCCGCACGAGGCACAGGGGTCAGTTAGGAGTCGCAGGGCCTGCCACAGAGCAGCGTGAGCACACACAACGGCACCTGCCCGGGTAGTTTTTGTAAAGTCACTTTTCCTTGTGACGAGAAAGTGGTAGATAAAAGAACCAGAAGCCGCAGCTTCCCTCCCAGTGGGTCGTATGAACTTGTATTAGCCAAGTGACCCCTGTGCGCCTCAGTCTCCTCACCTGTGAATGGGGACAGCAATCGCACTCTGCTGCCACCTGCCCCGCCTGCAGAGCTGTGGCCCTTCGACTGCAGAATTCCGTACAGTGCCTTACAGACACTCCTTAGTCCCTCAGCGTGCACCTATGGCAGTGGCTTGAAAAACACACAGAGAGAACGACACTGTTGTCTCTGCCCTCTTCTAAGCCTAAAGGAGAGCGCAGGCGAGGGCCTGGCAGAGTCAAGGGGAGTCCAGCCGGGGCTGAGAGAAAGCCCAGTGTCTTCCCCGAGCCGGCGGCGTCTGGCTCAGAGCCGGGCCTTGGCAGGAGGGTGACTGTGGCCTTGTCCTCCTAGTGCACCAGGTGGCGGAGCGGGTGGAGGCCCTGGGGCAGTTCGTCATGAAGACCAGGAGGACCCTCAAAGGCCACGGGAACAAAGTGCTCTGCATGGACTGGTGCAAAGACAAGCGGAGGATCGTGAGCTCCTCGCAGGTACGTCGCGCCTGTTGTGTGCTGGTGAGCGGCTTTCTGATTTCATGGCGGAGGGGGCGGGAGCGGTCCTTCTCAAAATCCTTTCTGGGCTTTCGGCCTCTGCTGATTGGCCAGAGGATGCGAGTGTGGCGTGTGGCGTGGCTGAGAGTTCTTTTACACCGCGGAGCCGCGCCAATTTGGGGAGATTTGGAATTGGTCCTGCTGAAACGTTGCAAACTCTGTTTGACTCACCATTTAGAACTGTTTCTTCCTGAGCATACATCACGGTCTTATTTGTGAGGGAAACCAACTGTAAACAGTGGGTTTTCCCAGATTGAGGGCCATGTGGTTGAGAGGCTACCGTGGCTTGTTGAGCAATTTTATGCCTTAAAGAACACATTTAAGATATATAGTTTGTAAAGACTATTTAAAAACAGTTCTCCGGAAGGCAGGGGGCGGGGGGGAGGCGGGGATAAGAGATCAACCAAAGGATTTGTATGCATGCATATGAGCATAACCAGTGGACACAGACACTGGGGCAGTGGGGCTTGTCCTGGGGGGTGGGAGCGGCTGGGGCGGGGGGTCAATTGGGGGAAAGGGAGACATATGGGAATACTTTAAACAATAAAAATAAAAACAGTTCTCCAGGATAAGGGCTCTGAGAACCCACCCCTATCTGGTGATGAGGATGAAAAAAAAAGGATATATATATTTTGTGAAGCCTAATTTTTCATTCATTTTGTATAGTTGACATAGTTTATTTTACATCTTATATTATCTATTGCTGCATGACAGATTACCCCAAAAGTTAGCAACTGCAAACAACAAATGTTTATTCTCTCGCATGGCTCCTGAGAGTCAGGAACCTGGGCAGCTTGGCTGGGTGGCTGGCTCGGGTCTCAGGAGCGTGCGGGCTGGACGCTGGCGGGCTGCAGGCGGCGACGAGGCCGAGGCTCACTCTGAGGTGGCTCACTCACATGGCTGGGCTGGAGGTTTAGTTCCGCTCCCTGGGGACCTGCCACAGGGCTGCTCAGGACATGGAGGCTGGGCACCCCCAGAGCATGTGATCCAAGAGAGGGAGAGGGAGGCAGAAGCCACGCCTCCACGCCCAGGGCCTCTCTGACCTGGGCTCACACAGACCAGCCTGATAAAATGAGGGAGCGGCCCATTGGGCTGCGTGTGACGGGCATGACTGGGGATTCTTGGAGCCTGGCGGCCACTGCTTAGTACTTTTTAGGTTTATTGTGATGTTACATGCATTGAACATACAACTGTAAACTGAAGTCATGTATTTTCATAGCCAGTTTGGGCTTCCTTTCACCCTTGCCTTCATCCCAGCTTTTTCAAAGGACAACTTGTTGTTTTCAATAACCCTTTTAAGTATAAACACTGTATATATCCTACATGATCCTCAGCTCCAACATCCACAAAACGGGTTGTTTTGACAGGACCCGTGTCATTAATCTCCTGTATTAGCTTCCAGTCTAGTATGACACACAGCGCTTGCTTTTTTTATGTCCATTAGCGCTCGTACTTCACCACATTTAAGAAGCACTGGAAAAGAGAACGCAGAAAGGGTTTTGCTGCCACCACCCTGTCACAACCATTGTTTTTATTTTAGAGCAGTTCTTTCTAGACATTGTTTTTTCAAATGCTCACTTGTGGTTATTGAGACATGCATGTTGCCACCCAGCCTTTTAGACTGTTTTATCCTTGAAAGGATAATATATGTTGGATTTTTTGTCACGCATGTACACTCTGATTAGAGAGGGAGGCGGGGGCGGAGGGCTGACAGGCTCCATCCACCCGTGTCTGCTGCAGAGAGAGTGGCTGGGATGTGGCAAGGAGCTGGGACAGCAGGAAGGCTCTGGAACAGACCTGGAGTGACTCGGAGCCACCCTTCTCCCTTAAAAGGCAGGAGATGAGTCAGCCTGACCGTGTGGGTCAGGGTTGGGGTGGAGGTATCGTCTCGGCAGGCCCGCAGGCCCTGTTGTATAAGCTGTGCTCACGGAGGGCCCACATTTCATCTTATCAGACTGATTTTAGCCTCGTGGGTGCCTTTTTCTCTCCAGAGCGCACAGCGGGTGGGCAGTGAGGACAGGCAGGCCGGCAGTGCGGTGGAGGAAGCCACCAAGTGAATGCTGTGTGAGGGGGGGGAGGGGGCTGCACTGAGTCACACCCCAGCCCAGCAAGCAGGGGCTCCGGGCCCGAGCTCCAGCTCTGTCCTCTGCACTGTTACCTAACCCTCCCCACACATCGTGCTTGGAGTGCAGCCAGAGAAGTTAGACCAGGAGACCAGTGTGCTTCGGGATCTCGAAAGGCCCAACACTGTCGACTCTGACCTTGTTTGGGGCCCCTCAGCCACACTCACATGAGCATGGAAGTCGTGCACGGCGAGCAGCGGTGTCGCTTTAGATGATCGGACCCTGCTTGTGCCCCTAAGTGGCATCACCGCCCCTCCCATCGTCTCATTCGCCAGATTTGGCTCAAAATGGCTTGAGTGATTAAAAACATCAAGCCTGCTATGGAGACTGCAGATTCACCATCTCTGAGGATGCCCCGGGACCCAGGCACTGAAGGAAGTCAGCTCAGCCACCCTCTGCCAGTGCCGCCCAGAGCCACCACGCCTCATGTGCTCAGGTAACTGTGTTGTAGGGACCAGAGCCCCTGGACTTCTCTCTGGGGGCTTGTATGACAAACAGATGGCATCGTGGTCACTCCCCACACGCCCATGTGTGTGGGCTGCAGCATGGTTACAGAGGAAGCGGACTTGTTGACGACGCCTGAACAGTTTCTCTTTTCCCTCCAGGACGGGAAGGTGATCGTGTGGGATTCCTTCACGACTAACAAGGTAAGGTGTCCCCGGCGCACTGGGGCGCCCCCAAACCCCAGCCTCATTTAAAGGTGCTCTGGTCCAGCTCCCCAGCCCTGGCCCCGTTTCCTGCCTCTCGGGGAGCCTGTCTGGGGATGAAAACCCCACAAAGCCCATCTGTGTTAAGACAGCACAGCAGCCCACAGTAGCGTTTATTCCTCCCTCGAGCTGACACCCCTTGCCCACAGAGGAGCCTGCAGAGCCCCACAGAATAAGCTCACACTGGAACAGGAAGGGGCGAGGCCTGACACCCTGGTCCCGTGCACACAGGCAGCTGTATGTATTCTTCCTCTGAGTGACAACAAGAGGTACCCAGCTTCCTCTCCCCTCTGTCTTTGGCCAGACTCCATGGCACTGTGGACATGAGCAAACGGTGGGTGAAGCCCTGGCTGCAGTGGAGTCACGTGCTCTGTCCAGGACGCAGTGGAGTCTGAGCCCCTTGCAGCTCTGGCCTGAGCATGCATAGCTGCAAAGTAGACCTAAATTCAGACTCTTTCCTAAAGAGAAAGACTGAAACCTTTGTAGGTGTGCTTGCACGCCTGCATTGCGTTGGCATTTACAATAACGAGTATGGTGTATTGAGTATGGACTCCAACATTTACTTAGAAGAAAACCTCCCTTATCACGATATTAAAAAGGAGACGTATTGTGACAAATTTGAGCGATGCCCATATTCTGTATTATTGAATGTGGTTAGTAAATGCCATGTAGGCAGCTGTTACCTGACCAGATGGAATGAGGCCCCAGAACCGCCTGTAGAGCAATCCCTAGTGTTTGGGCCCCTGGGGAACAATAAACAGTTTGCAAAGGGCAGTGTACATCCCCTACCTCCACGGAGGACTCCGCCTCTCCCAGCATGCCCAAGCAGTGCGTGCATGGGGTTGTGTTGTGTCTGTTTACTCCTGAGCGTGGCATAGAGCACACACTGCCTGGTTTCTGGGAGCTGTAGGGTCACCACTTGTGGTCTCTGGCAGGGAACCTAGCCATCACTGGTGGGGAAAAGGGTCTGGGATGCCCTGTGCTGAGAGTGCAGCCACCTCGCCTCACTCACTGGCAGGCAGTAAGTGATTCCCAGCCTCAGAGGCTGTAGGACTGTGAGTGACACCAGAATTTTGACAGGCAGTTTCGGGCCTATATTTCCCCATAAAAACACAGAGAATCTAGCGGAAAGGCCAGCGCTGGTGTGTCCTCCACAAACTTAGTCCCATTCCCTCCCTTCACAGACAAGGATGAGGCTGAGTTAGTACAAATGGCTGGCTTGCCGGTTGCACATCTTGTTGCTGTTGGAACCACGTTGTTGAATCGTGGCTTTGTTGTTTGCTTATCTGCACACAGGAGGCTGTGGGTGACTCGACCACCATCCAGGAGCCGGGGACTGTTAGGCCTCGCACTTCATTCTTCCACTTTAGAGGTTCTCTCACCCCTGAGCACAACTCAAGATCAGCCTCCCACCCCCATTCATCCCTCCCAGGAATGGTTTAGGACTCAGAGGGGACAGAGGCTCTTGTGTTCTCACAAGTAAACAAACTCATAATATACACGTAAAAAGTTATTCAAGATTATATTATGAAAATGGAAATCAGATTAAATAAGGTGAAGTATATATTGGAAATGAAATTCGGATGGACCTTTAAAAGAAAAGGAGCCCAGTATTCATTCATTCAGAAGAACAAGTGGGGTGTAACATTAAGGAAAAAGTAAAACCTTAAGGATTTTTTTTTTTTTTTGCTAGTTGGGATTTTAACTTTTAGAATATATGACATAACGGCCTGGTCAGCATGGTCAGTGGTTGAACATCAATCTATGAACCAGGAGGTCACGGTTCAATTCCCAGTCAGGGTACATGCCTGGGTTGCAGGCTCGATCCCCAGTGTGGGGCATGCAGGAGGCAGCTGATCAATGATTCTCTCTCATCATTGATGTTTCTATCCTTCTCTCCCTCTCCCTTCCTCTCTGAAATCAATAAAAAATATATATTTAAAAAAGAATATATGATGTAATGTTTGATTGATTATATGGGGCCGAGTCTCCTTATCAGTCATAAGCTAGTTGTTACCCCACTCCACTGCCCTTGGAAACTATAACATAATTCAGTAAGATCGCCAGTGACTTTTTAAAAATTAAATGTTCAGATGTGTGCGTGTGTGTGTGAAGCCACACTTGTTTATTCTATGAACGGTTCACACTGTGTTTCAGGAGCATGCGGTCACCATGCCCTGCACGTGGGTGATGGCGTGTGCGTATGCCCCGTCGGGCTGTGCCATTGCGTGTGGGTAAGTAGGGCCCACAGCAGCTTTTCAGCTGTCCTGTGAGCCATAGAACACTGTTGTATGGGCAGAAATACACAAACAAGAACTTGTCATTTTTATTGTTTGCTTGTTAAGCAATGTGTTAAATTGCTCCCTGAACTTTATTTAAAAAAAAAGCACAAAAATCTCTTTCATAATTATTTTCATTACAGAGTGACAGTGGTATAAGTTTTAGACCTATGCCTCTCAGATGCAAACATCTTGGAATGCATGTTGGTAACTTGTATCAGAAACCTGGAAAAATGTAGAACCTTTGATCTAGTGATTTTACATCTAAGAACTTACTTGAAAGCAATGATTCAAAATATAGAAAAGAACATATGAATAATAACATTTATTGTAGAATTATGTAAAATAAAGCCAAAGACAAAAAAGAGAAACAATATGTCCATCAAAGGCAATTATTAAACAATTGTGGTATCTGAATTGAATGGAATATTAACAGCCATTAAAAGGAAAATGCTTGATCACAGTAAGTGAAAAGAGCATCTAGGTTACCAGGAAGATTGTACCTTATTCTCTGTTCTCCTGAAGATCAGTTTAACAGGGTTCAGCAACGAGAACTGCAGCCCCGTGGCTCCCTGTCCCCGTGTTAAACAGTTGTGGGCCATTAAAATATTTCCACAGTAGAATCTCAGCCCTGTTTAGAAAAGAGGCATTAGTATAAAAGCTGTGGTGAACTAGACCAGCAATTTTCATCTCATGACACACGTAAGCTAATTGCTAGAATTCTGCAGCACACCAAAAAAATAGATTTTTTGCTGCTCTGACTAAAAAAAAGGTATAATTTTGATTCATTCACACCAGACAGCTATTGTTGAGTTGGCTGTTGTCATCTTTTAATCTGACAGTCTAAGGGAAAGAGGTCAGTGCTCCTGACTAAATAGCCAGGTGCTGCATGTTTTACACATTCTTGTGGCACACCTCTGAAAACCTCAGACCTATACTGAAAACACAGTACTAGTTCTTTCGGGATGATGGGACTATGGGTGTTTTTCTCTTCTTTATAATTTTCTGTATTTTCAGTTTTTAAAAGTAAGCACATATTATTTTTATAATCAGGAGGAAAGGGTTTTATTTAAAATATGAAGACCCTGGGCCTCCAAGCAAAATTTCTGGAGCCTCTCCAGCCAGAGTCACACCAGCCATCATCCCCAGTGTCCCCCTCTTTGGGCACCTACTTTGGGGGCACCTTCCCACTCTCTTTCTCTGCTGTTTGAGACCCGGTGTGCCTTTGGAACCCATGTTCACATACAAGTATTTCATATTTTTGAATAACTCAAAAGTAGATTGTGTCTTCATTTTATAACTGGAAGACAATACATAAAATTCATCCCCATCTACTTCCTGAAAGGATCTGAGGTGTCCCCAATAAAAACCATGGGTATATATATATTGATTGATTATATGGGGCCGAGATATATATATATATATATATATATATATATATATATATATATATAAATATATCACATATGCAAGAACAGTTATTTTATATATACACCACAGTTATTTTATATATACACACCACACAATTATAAGGTAGGTACAGAGGAGTTCAACCAACGGTACAGTTAGAAGGCACAGTCCCCACAAGACTCCCCTCTCTTGAGATTCCAGCTGCAAATTGAAGGGTCCCCACCACGACCCTCTGGCTCAGTAATTGACTAGAATGACTCACAGAACTCAGGAAAGTGTTGTGCTCAGGCTCATGGTTTTATCACAGTGAAAGGATACAGTGAGAACCAGCCAAAGGAAGAGAAACAGGGCAGAATCCAAGAGGGGTCTGAACACGAAGCCTCCACTGGTGCCTCCCTGTGGAGTCACGGCCAGCGTTACCTCCTCCCAGCTACAGCTGTGACTATATGCCAACTGGGGGACTCGCCTGAGCCTTTGGTGACCAGAGATTTTATATTCACTCTCCAGTCTCCTGGTTTCTTCAGGGAGGGGGTGTCCCAAAGCCCCCATCACAGATCACACCACTAGGCTGTGGGGTGGCCAGAGCCCCAAGCCAACAGACACCCCCATTAGAGCTCACTTCCCGTGGCCAGGGCACAGGCCACACCTCGCATTCGGTACGGCCAGTTCTTCACTACTCAGTATAGAAATAAATACTCCACATTTTTAAACTCTGGGATAATATGTTTCTAACTGGGCATTAATTTTAGTAAATGCATAGAGTTCGCTGGGTTACATAATTGCTCAGTATTTGATGTTGAGATAGCACCTGTCTGGTTCTAAATTACAAAAAGAATATATGGGCTACGTCACAGCGTATATAACAACACGGTGAACAGTGTCTTCAGTGGCAGTTTAGAAATGATGCCGGGCCTCTTTCTATTTTAACTCTCACTCAACGGAGCCCAGTGGGAGATTCCCATAGGGCAGGGGAGCAGGCAGGGGAGAGAACACGTTTCCAAGACCCACCCACGTGGCTTTCTGGTGACACCCTGAGAGTCCAGATGGAGGAATGGCTAGTGCCTCAGTCCCGGTATAGATGTATAATTATGTAAGCATGTAAGTTGCTTTTTTTGAGAGCCATATTCCCCAAGAAGCCTTCATTCAGGTATTGTACACTTGCTCTGAGTGACTGGACTGGGTGTTCTAGAGGAATTCAAAGTTGAATAAAATGTAGTGCCTGCCTCCAAGCAAGTAGGATATAAAACTAATGGTAATGACCACTTACTGGGCATCTATCATGTGTCAATGACTATTCTGAATTCTGTACAGTCTTCACAACAGCCCCTTGTGATACGTGGGTGGGATCTACTCATTTTATAGTTGAGGAAACTGAGGCTCTGAGAACCTAAAAAAAAAAAAGCAAAACCAAGATTGCAAAATGAGTTAGCTACTAAAGCAGAGGTTCAACACCAGATGCGTCACACTGCAAACTTCTCTGCCTCGCATGCGTTCAGGTAATCCTGAGCAATGCACAGCCCAGCAGAGCTACAAAACTTGCAGCGTCAGCGTGGCTCACCTCGAGGGTCGGGGAGCCCTGGTCCACAGCAGGCTGGTTCTGGCCACAGCCAAGTGCAAGTCATTCTCACCCACGTGACAGTGTGACAAGTCCAGAATGTGTGACATTCTATACGACAAGTAGCCTAAGGTCTGTGGCTGTGAACACCAAAAAATAGAGGGCCAATTCTAAATTAAGTGATCTTAAAAAGATATAAAAACCTAATGCACTATGTGACCCTTGATTGGGCCCTTGCAAATTCAAGTATTTAGATGTAACATGTCATGTCTGCAATTTGCATTCAAATGGTTCAGAATTTGTTCCCACAAAATGTTAAGTTAGGAGTTTAGGTGAAGGGATTGAGTGTTCATTGTACTATTTTTCTTTCAGTTTTACTGTGCATTTGTAAATCTTCAAAGTGAAAGTTGGGGAAAAGGTTATAATGTGTGATACTGCTCAAGGGAAAATTTTTTTGAAAAGTCTGTGTGAATGAGAAAGTATACACACACTCTATTGCCCTCCATCAACATTTGACACTTCTTTCTTCCCATGCCAGGGGTTTGGATAATAAGTGTTCTGTGTATCCACTGACCTTTGACAAAAATGAAAGCATGGCTGCCAAAAAGAAGTCTGTGGCTATGCACACCAACTACCTGTCAGCCTGCAGCTTCACCAACTCTGACATGCAGGTAAGCGAGGGCCTGCGGGAGGGCAGGGGAGGAGCCCCAGGGGAGAGCGGAGGCTTTTCCAGGGTTCCTCTTAGCAGGAGGGGTGCTCCAGAGGAAGCTCCTGTTCCTCATTGATTATTATTATTTTAAATAAAAGCAGAAACGAGGAAAGCCAGGGCTATTGGCTGTTGGTAGAGGAGATAAACTACATGCCGTATTGAACACCCTTCTCTAATTGCCTTGTTGGGGTGGATCAGGGAGCCTGGGTGGGAAGTCCACCTCCCGGTCTGAGAGGTGGTTCCCAGGCACGGATGTGTGTGCACCTTCACTGAGCGGCCGGGCTTCAGCAGGTGCGCTTTACACGCTTCGCTGAATCTGCTTCACACTCCTGTTTGAACAGATGCAAAAGAAGAAGCGTCAGGTAGTAAATCTGTGCTCTACTCTGGGTAAACCCAAAGGAAAAACACTACTCAACACCTAGACCACGTTTTCTTAAGTTGTAAAGGTATACCGTAGTTTATTTCTCCACATCTATTCAGCAGACCTTCCTAGGTGTCCACCACCCATGTTGCCAGGCGCTACCTGGCTCTGGGCCACAGGGACACTCAGTCTCTGCCCTCAGGGACCTTCACGGAAACCAGTCGGGACTGAACAGCGGGGAAGGCTGGGAGCTCAGGGCGGGAGGGGTGGTCACAGGCCACATGGAGTTGCCTGGACCAGCCTTGGAGGGTGAGGGTGTTGCCAGTGAGGTGTGAGGGGAGCTCAGTGGGAGGCAGGCAGCCTGAGAAGTGGGCAGGGACACAGCCCAGGGCGCCCTGAATGCCCTGTGGATGGAGGGCAGCCCTGCAGGGGCTGGGCCATATTTGGACTTGTTTTAAGCAGGAGAGTATGAGTCAGATAAAGCCTTCCACGGCCCACTCTGGCCTCAGCTGACTCAGTCAGGGAGACCAGGTGACTGGGTCATTGTTTAATTGCTGACAAGGGGGGTGTCAGGCTTGAAGTGTAGTATTTACACCTGGTGTTTGGGACCAGGAGCCTTGCAGACCTGTACAGTAGGGGGCGCTGTGGGCCCAGCTGGCTGCAGCAGCCACAACCTGATAGATGCCTTTGAGCCTGAGCAGTAGCAAAGCAAGAGAGGATCTCAGTGTGGAAGAAGGAAGCCACAGAGGGATGCAGGCACAGGGGTCGTCAGGCATCTCAAGTGTCTCGGTAGAGACCTATCACCCTCACTCTGAGTTGGGGACCGAAGGGGGGCACCTGGAAGGCAGAAAGTGCTTGTTTCCTAATAGGCAGCCGAGGGAGATAGACGGAATAGGGGGAAGTCCGCTGGCCACCCTGCCAGGGCACAGGGCACAGGGCACGGCTCAGAGACAGACAGCGGGGATCAAATCCTGGCTCCACTGCATTCAGGCTGGTCAGTCCTAAGCAAGGTGTGTTCCCTGTTTTGTTTTCTCACCTGCAAGTGAGGATGGCAATAAATTCCTCCCTGGTAAGGCTTTCTGAGAATTAAACTAGATGATTGGTATAAAATAATACATACAGTCCCTGGTAAATATTAGCTCTTACTGTTTTATTATTGATACTAGAGGCCCAGTGCACGAATTCGTGCATGGAGGGGGGGGGTGTACCCTCAGCCCAGCCTGCACCCTCTCCAATCTGGGACCCCTCGGGGGATATCCGACTGCTGGTTTAGGCCTGATCCCCAGCCTAAACCGGCAGTCGAACATCCCTCTCACAATCCTGGACCGCTGGCTCCTAATCGCTCACCTGCCTGCCTGCCTGCCTGATCGCCGCTCACTGCCCCCCACTGCCGGCCAGTTTGCCCCCAACTTCCCCCTCCCCACTGGTCTGGTCACCCTGCTCAGCCTGCTGTTCAGTCGTTTGGTCATCCCTCACTAACCCCTCTGCCGGCCTGGTCGTAGGCAGCCATCTTGAAAGGGCATGAGGATTAATTTGCATATTACCTCTTTATTATATAGGATTAACACAAAGCTTCATTACACAACAGTTCAGGTGCATGGCCTGGTGTGGGTACTAATGAATTAATGAACCTGAAGCTTCCTCCCATTTCTGGGATCAAGGATGAAAAAAAGGAAAACTCGCCCTGCTGGTGTGGCGCAGTGGTTGAGCATCAACCTATGAACCAGGAGGTCGCAGTTTGACTCCCAGTCAGGGCACATGCCCGGGTTGCGGGCTCGATCCCCAGTGTGGGGCCTGCAGGAGGCAGCCAATCAATGATTCTCTCTCATCATGGATGTTTCTATCTCCCTCTCCCTCTCCCTTCCTCTCTGAAATCAATAAAAATATATTTTTAAAAAACCCTCAAGGGGCTGGTATAAGACTATGGCATTAAAGCTATAAATTCTTTACATTCTAGAATAAATGAGTGACACAGTTAGAGGTTATGTTTAGTGCATTTATAGTAATGAGTGTTTGGTTTTAGAAATTTATTTGTACTTACATTGTAATGAAGATCACAAAGTATTTTTTAAATATTAAGAATTTACTTTTTACTTCTAAAAGCAGTCCATTTGTTTGATTGAAGAGCATGGTATGAAAAATGACCAAACTAAAGAGCTAGTCTGTGGCAATCATTTAAAGCGGGTTATTTGGACCTGGCTTCCCAAAAAAGATTGGAGATACTGACCCTTTGCAAGTGCTAGGACAGGAGCAGTGTGGCGCGTGCACTAGTGGGTGTGGGCCTGAAGAGATTGGAGGGAATTGTAGCATAGTTCAAAGTACAAATACCCAAGTTAAGATGCGGTCAGTCTTGTGTGTTCATAAGCTACTTTTACCAGCCTTGCTCATCTTGTTGGATGTACGTTTGATGGAAGCTGAGGCTGTAGGGAGTCCCATGGACAGCTGCAGGGGTTTGCAGCCTTGGAAATTCCCCAAATTTGAGACCTTGAGGAGGACTTTGGGGACTAGACCCAAGAAGCCTGAGCGCTCCGGAACTCTCCCAGCTCTTGTTCCGGGAGGTGCTCAAAGGGACCTCTCCTGGGAGGAGATCCTAGGCCTCCCTGACT